GGGGACGCGGCGGGATCGTCCCCCGCCCCCGCCGCGGGAACCGGGCCCACGCAGCCCAGGAGGAAGCTCCCGGGTGAAGCTCCCCCCACGCCTCAGCGAGATCGGGCCTGAAGGCCAGAGGCCACCGGATTGGACCTCAGGGCTCCACCCGAGGGCCGTCTGAAAGCTGTCACTTGGCCTTGGTCTGGAGTTTTGCCCCGTTTTCGCGCGTTTGCAGACACGCCGTTGTTTTCCTCGTCTTTCCGGCGGGTTTTGTAGGTGTTTCCGACCGCCTTCCAGCTGCTGCATCTGGAGAGGGAAAAACACTCGTGTTCTTAACAGATGCAAGAGGAGGAGTTCTGGGCCATCAGGCTTTCACAGATCTCCCTTAGATGGCTGAAATTAGCATTCACCTAGAATTACCAGCTGTTCCAAAATTAGAAGGCCTTGTCCCACACTGCCAGGCATAGCTGTACTGGTGCTTTCCAAAAACAATGGGCAGAATTTTCAAACTGCTTACCTTCTGCTTCTTACCTTCCAAGTTCATGTCGTGCTTAGGTTTCAGCATGGTCCGCGTTTGCATACAGAGTTGCTTGTGCCAGATAATGATGTGAATTATGGTCCTAGCTTGACCTCTGGCTCTCTGTTGAGACGCCACAACCCTTTTCTCTGCCGGATTTTTGCTGTGAGTCCCCTCCTGACTTCTGCATCTGCTTTTCTTTACGGTGGGGCTGAAAACCTTGTAAGAACCATTGCAGGTTGTGTGTGACAAAGTGGGAGTATTGTTATTTCCAGCACTTTGAAGCTGTGGAGGACTGCATTCACTTTTAAGTATCACTGCAATCTTATGGTTAGGTAACTGGTTGTCTTGGTTTTGGAAGTCTGTGAGCTTGTTTGAAGGTGAAAAATTATCTATATTATGAAATCAGTTGTGATGTGATTTCCACATCTCTTTTCACGCAAATTCTGTTTGCTCTGTGAGAACAATGACTTTGGCTTAGTTGACTGACTTCACTACCGTTGGTATCTACCAAGTTAAACATTTGCTAGGAGCACCGCCTGTGCAGGTGTATTTGATCACACCCACGCTTTTTCTGTGCATCTGGTTGTGCAAGTGCAAGTTTGTATTTACAGAGGCTCACAAAACCAAAATTGTTGCTATTAGGAACTTTCAGTGTGAGTAAGACCTAGTGAGAAGGGAGGGCCTTCAGAAGATGAAGTGTGTTATTTACTAAATACTTCAGGTTTTGTGCACTTTCGGTATGTCTTGGAAGCAAGGTCAAAGAGCACCAGAATCAAGCTGATGGGTGTGTGAGGAGAGGAGACTGCAAGTGGAAATATGTCATTGCTTGATTAGAGGAGGGAGCCATGAAGTGAAGAAAAGCGATTCAACAGTGTGTTGTAGGTGTGCTGGACAGATGAAAGACCAAGATGTGAAGTGAAAGTGTAGCAGACGCTTTAAAACCCCGGATGTGAGGAGAGAAGCCAGCAGAGAGTGTAAGAGGTGATGAAATTCACTCTGAATTCGCTAGCATAGACCTTACAGGAATCTGCAGCAGAGTTTTTCATTCACTGATCAACCCAGATGAAGCTTTGTTTAAATTTTATTGACAGTCACTTGTTGCACAAATGGTCTCCAAAGGATTAAGATGAATACTGAAGCAGCAGGAGTAAGTAGTACACTGAAGGAGGGAGAGGGACTAGGGGCAACTCAGCTGGGCAGTTACAACATTTGGAAAATGAAATATAATTAACAATACTTACATGGTGACATTTTTGGCATTTGCTGTCTTGTGAAAATGGACTTTGTCTGTTGAAAAGCCCTGTTGAACATGTGAGTGTCCTTAGCAATTTGCAGTTATTACCGTGTTCTGGTGCTTTGGAGAGCATAGAGTCTGTGAGCACCTGTCCTAGTGCTAAGCGACCTGTTGTCTGAATACGGCTAGAGCTTGTTTGCTGTAATGCAGTTAGCACATGCCAGTCTTCTGCAAAACCGTGAAACATGGATACCTGTTATCAGCTAGACGGGAAAGAAAGCTGTGTTGCCTTTAATTCCAAAGATTCCCATGCCTGTAGTGGTTTCAGACCCAAGCTGAAAAAGACAGAACAAAATAAAACCAACAAAACCTCACGAAATCCCACCCCCAAAAACGGGGTGGGGGAGTGCACCGCGGAAGTTATGGGCTAGTGTACAAACTTCTTGTCCTAACATATAACCGTTTGGGTACAGTTGTGCCTATTTTTTTCTGCTGTAATAGTTACTTTGTAAGCAACCTGAGGTTTGTAGAGAGAGGCAGCGTGTTTGCAGCTCTGCTGGTCTAATAATAGGACCTTACAGCTTGCCATGTGCTAAACTTGTCTGGGCCTGGAAGCTCATCTGTCTTTCCAAAGTATGTTCGTACCGTTCTCTGTCAGTCAGCCTTGCCTTGCGCGTATTCTTAGATCATTGTGGCTAGAGCAGCGCTGCAGTGTAAATCAGTAACAGATCCAAGCATCAAGTACGTGTTAAATAGATACGATTTATTCCTCCTCCCAGTCTACTTTTGCAGGGCACGCAGTTCAAAGCATACTGGAATAATAAAAGAGGTATGGCTTGCTGACCTCGAAGAAAGGAGGCACGGACTGTGTACCCAGACAGACTGTCACCTTCTTTCCAGTTTCTGATGTGCTGGAGGACTCAAGCACCGGAGTCTGACTCTTCCTCACATTGTGAGGATTATTTGAAGCCCAACTAAGGTGCATAGTGCCTATTTGTAAACGGTTTTCAAACTTTTCAAAGCCTGACTATCGATGTGAACACCTTGTAAGGGGAAATTGTCCTTTTATTACTTTTTTTTTTTTTTTAGCACCAAGCTACTCTTTGCATTACTTGAGGGCATCTGCTGCCTTTTAGTTGCCTTGTCTAAAGAAGGGCCTCTCTACTATTGCATGTTCCAATACTGCATCAAGTGACGGGACTGGCATCCTTCATTGCTTTCTGCTGAAAGTGATTGTATCTTGTGTTGGTATGTCAGTCCATCCCATTTTCTCTTCTATGTAGTTTACTATAACTAGATCTGAGTTGGCTGCAGGTAAAGGCTTCTGCAGATCCACGATAAAACCAATCTGGCTGCAATTCTGGGTGACTTACATAAGTGGGTATTTGTTTTATAAACAAAGACCACAGAGACTTTGTGCCTAGGACACAACCCAGGCAAATGAATTCCTGGCTAGATCCGTGACTTGGGTGAACTGCAGCATGCTGCTGCCTGTCATGTAGGAGCCTGGTGTCATATCCGGAACTGTGATGCATGGATGGCATTTTAGCAAGCCAGCGGGCTAAAATGACTCGTATTACAGGTTAATCAGCTCCATGGGAAAATACTAGTGTCTGTGCCCTCCCATAAATAGTTTACAACATCTACAAACAACCTCTTGTAACTCTAGTAATTGTAAAAATACATATCTGGCAAGCATGTCTCCCTGCATACTGCTCTCTTAAATACCAAAGGCGTTTCTCTTTGTAGTGAAGTCATAACTTTGCAGCTAGCCACTAAACTGAGAAAATAACTTGCTTGGCAGGAAGTCTGAGGGCTGGTATCTCAGTGAACTTGTATGCTTTACATGTCTTGTTTTGAAGACTCTTTTATCGAATGGCATCTCGTGGTGTTAGTTTTTGGAACCTAGTATTTCAAATACTTACTAGTAAAATTATTTGGAGGGTGTGGGGATAGAGGTGTGCTGAATGCCCTGTTGCCATCTGTGGAACTACAGACTGGTCAAATTAGTCTGATACATATTTGCATGATCAGATCCTAACTGTTGATGTTTTTGAATTTCAGCAAGCATCCTGTCTGTCTTCTTTACAGCTTTACTGTTCTGTGCCATCCTGATCAACAAAAATTTTTTTGCAGTCTTGGGGTTTTTTTTTCGCTTGCTGTGGGTCAGAGATAGTGTAATGTGACCTCTCTTACTTTCACAGAAGTGGGAATCCTTGCCAAGTTCTACATTGATCAAGGGCACCTTATTCCAGATGACATCATGACACGACTAGTGCTGAATGAGCTGAAAGGTCTGGATCGGTACAACTGGCTATTGGATGGTAAGTTACCGTATGGGATATCACTATATATGGAGAGAAAATCTGCAGTGGAAAGCGTGGAGTGCTTTGGTCACTTGTGGGTAGCTACCCTCCAGTAGCCATCCCCGAGTTGTAGTAACGGGACAGTGTTTGTTGCCAGCTTGCTGTGAAACCTTCAGCAGCTAGTCTGCCCAGTCTCTTCGGCTGTAAAATGCTTTGGATGCATCCCACCTTCATAGCGTTACAGGGCTGTTTAAATCGTGTTGAAAAGAGTAGTTCAACAGTCCAGTAAATTTTCAAACCTGGCAATTCTGGTAATTCTTATGCTTTATTTTCCTCTTTAAAATATGCATTGAGAAATTTCTTTTTTTAAAGCATTTTCTTGTTAAAGTCCTTGGGGAATGGAACACTTTTGAAGAACGGGGCTGAGGAATTATTTAAATAGAAAGGTAGGTATGTGATGCACCAACAAGGTAAATACGTAAAGCAGGTACTGCAGCAGTGCAGTGCAGCATGTAATAGGTCACTAACAAAAACACTGCTCTAAAAGGTCTCTTTCATTTACTTTTTGGTTCTGCTCTCTAGAGTGAATTGTTCTGCAATTCTGCAGTGTAAGCTCTTTGCTTCAGCGTTCACAGTAGAGAGAAAATGCATTTGCCCATGTCTTCATGGACTGAATGGCTCTTCTTACACCAGCCCATGGGAGCACAGTTGGATTCACAGCACGAAGACAGCATCTAGGCTGGATGCCTGTGTTTTCAGATTCTAGTCACAACCTGTCTCAGTAGATAAAACTAAAAAGTTGTTGGTGTGGCTTTTTATTTAGATGGAGTGAAAAATCTCCCTTAGTGTTTTATTATAGTTGCTTCTAGTACAGTGATCTGTTCTGGTGGCTTTAGTCACAGCTATGTTCCTCCTTAGTGAAGACAAAGGCTTAATTGCCACATAGTGAAGACAAAGGCTTAATTCCCACAGAGAACAGCACAATAAAACCAAATCAATAAAGGAAAGAGCTGTAGATGTTTTTTTTCTCTGGTTCCAGGTCCTGTGTACACACAGTTCCAGTCTTGTGGATCTGGATGTGTAGCAGTGTAGCTGGGCATACTGGCAACTCTTAACAGGAGGATAGTGTGGAGACCGTAAGAGAATAAATCAGTTTCTGCTGCATGTTCTTGCGCTGCCTGCTTTAAACTATTGGAGCAGAAGTTTTGTCTGCGTCAGCGTTTGTAGTGAGACTCAGTGAATTACACTAGGCATAGCTCTGGCATAATCAGCTCTGTAGGAACAATACTGTTCTGTTGAACTATGTTAATCAGAAAGTCTTCAGTGTGATAACTGCAACTCAGAACGAACAGCTGAGATCTGCTGGGTCAAACTAAACAGAGTTGCCAAGCTACCTGTATGCTCACTTAGCCAAAAACCCATTTCCACTGCCTTAGATAGCTTGGTGGCTTCTAGGGCAGGTGTAGCGGTCTGAGTTGCATGCGTGGGTGTGTATGATCTGCTTAGATTTATGTGCTGTATAATTAGGGGACTTTTCTCTGTGTTCTTGGATTCTTCATCATTAATCACATCTTGCAGATTATTTATTCTGTATCAAGAAGATGCTGTATGCAGCAGATGCTAGTTCAGTTTCAATGAAATGCTTTTGTAAAGGCACTTTAATTTGTTGAGGACGTTTCTCATTACTAAGTCCCAAAGCAAACTGCAGCATAACTTAGATGTGTGGTGGTTAACTAGCTTGTCAATAGTAAGAAAGAACAGCAGTGCCAGAGTCCTGGTTCTCTCTCTGCTCTTAAGGTTTAGAAGCACTTGCATGAGGTAATGTGAACGGGAGAGAAACAGGATTAGGGCAGTTGATGAGTGTGATGCAAACCAGGTGAGTCAGACTTAATGCACAAATGAGAGCTTGGTCTGAGTTAACCAACTCTTTCCTTCTGTGATGCTTTAGCCAAGAGACAGTAGCTTTAAGACCATAAGATATTTTTTGTTTCTGTTTTAAGGCTAGTTCTTGTCTGGTTCCTCACTGAGTCAATGGACTTGCCAACCAATGTTATGCAAAGAAGAGTTTCTTTAGTTTGTACCTATCAATACTTTCCTTTATGGAGAAGTTTACTTGTATATTGTAACGAAAATTACATGCTACTGAAGAACATGAGACTGTTCAAGAGCTTTGTGGGTAGAGGTGTTACTCCAGCGAATCTGTGGTGCAATAGCATGTTCTGCAGTAGCTTTGACCGCTGAAGTTCTTGAGGTCAATTTTTCATTTTAAGTTCTTTGTGGAGACCGTGGTTTTCTTGTTCTCTGTTTCCCACCCCCTCCTTAAGTTCCACTAGATTTCTCTAGTACTAATATGTGCCTTTGAAGGCATGCTGCTGGAGCCATAGAGCTCATGGTGCAAAATGCAGTGTCTTTTAAGTGAAGAGACAGATTGCTGTGCAACCTGGGTGTTCTCACAGTCGTCATCGCCAAGGATAGTTTGATACACTAGACTTTGCAGAGCTCTCTCTATAGCTACTGTTTTATATAAAATTAATCCTGGACTGCCTCTGGTATATATATAGGGCTTACTGCAACTGAATAAAATAGGTGTGTAACGGTCACCTCCTTAAGCAAGACTTGCACATCTGTGGAAGTAAGAGTTGTCACAAATGTTTCTAGGTTGTTCTAGACCTCTGAGTGAGCTACCTGTAGCTTTTACTTGAAGTGCATATACAATAGTTTTATTCAATACAGTGGTATGTACTACATACGAGTATGGGGTCTTTTTGCATTTATTTGTCACACTTTTAGGAAGATGATTAACTGAAATGAGGAAATGAAGCTGGGATGCGTTTAAGAAGTTAAATGCCACGACACACTGAAAAATACTTGGAAAGTCTGATATCTCTTCAACCTTTACAGTATGATGATGCTTTTTTTTCTGTCTGACGATTATTTTCTCTAATGACTGAATCCAGGTAATTCTTGCAGTAACTCTGCCTCTGGATTTTTATGGAGTTGTTTCCTTTAAAAAGGTTTCCCCAGAACAGTTGCTCAGGCAGAAGCCCTGGATAAAGAATGTAAAATAGACACTGTGATTGACCTAGATGTACCATTTGAGACCATAAAATCTCGGCTCACAGCACGTTGGATCCACCCTGCTAGTGGCAGAGTCTACAATCTTGAATTCAGTCCTCCCAAAGTGCAGGTGAGCAATACAGGTCGGTGTTGTCACTAAATAAAGGTTGTATTTCATTTGGTAATTGCAGTAAAACATTGTTTGCCTATGTTGTTGCAAAACACAGTAGCTCAGAAGAAAAAGTCTTGTTTCATCTCTCGGGAGCACAGAACTTTTCTGTGGTTAACACCCTGCCTCTCAGGGTATGTTAGTGCCCTGGTAGAAGCTCAAGCTGATGGGTAATGTGTTTGTCCCCTGCAGAATGAAAAAACATGGTGTTTTGTAAGCTCTTTTTGAAGCTGTTTGCTGATCTGGAAGACTCTCAGTCTTGTGCAGTCTGGCACAGGGGTTGGGCATGTTCTTAGCACCATACGCAAATTCGCAGGCTATACAGTCCAAAATGTAGTTTCCTTTTCTTTCCTCCAAAGGACTCATTCTTTGTACCTAGGAAGCACACTGAATCATCAGTCAGAGGAATCCACTTCATGCTTTCCCTGTGTTTACATTTAACCAGGGTGGGTATTTTCAAGGGAACAGCTGTCATATTGCAAAATTAGATCTAGAAACTTGCCAGTCAGGGAAGCTTCTCAACAGATCAAAGAGGTTATGGCTTGAGACATCCTATAAAAGGAAGAGTAAACTTTTAGATAATGATTGTATGTTGTTATCTTAAGATTTTTGAGGAACGTGCATTAGCCTTAGTACAACTCAAGCTGTATTTCATCCTTAATTCCAAATAACTGTTGTGACATCACATTTCACCTGGAAGCTCTATTAACTTATATCAGAAGCCTAGCAGGCATTGTAGTTTTTGGATTTCAGTGTTGCTGGAAAAGAGGCCAGCTGAAATAGCAGGTAAGCACTGGAAGTGGGCAACTGGAAACACTGCCTTTGTATTGTTTAAAATGTGGTGGTTTAAGTCATGGTTATTTTTAATTGCAGAAGAGCATAGGCAAGCTGCAACAGAGAATTACCAGACCTACCAAAGAGTGGGCTTCAGCTGCAACAGCTTTGCTATTAGGAACACTCTACTCTGCCTTCCACTAAGTAGCAGCCATATCACAGCATATAGATTGCAATTTTTAAGTGAAACTATGGAATGGAGCTGAACAGCTGAAATACAGTTGTCTCCGTTACCTAATAGACCTGCAAAATGTTTACTTACTCAACAGAACCAAAAGATAATGGCTTTAGACTTAATGCAAGGCTAAGGCTCAATATTTGAGAGGTACAATGAAGGCACTACGACGGCTGCCTGTACAGATGCTAGAAGAAACACCCAAGTGTTCTAAATGATTGTATTATATAAACAAGCTAAGTCTGACAATACAAATCCATCCCTAATATGATACCGAAGTTCTGGAACAGCATTTCTTCACACCTTCATGAACAGAGCTTACTGAACATTGATGGTTATTGATTTTCTAAAGCTGTCTGCCAGAATGCAAGCAAGAAGGGAAGGTATTTTTGTGGTCTGATTGGCTTTGTACTGGCAAGATCACTCATGTTTCCACTCCAAATGTCAGATTAAACTTGTCTTTGGGGAAAATCAAAATTCTTGAGGATTTAGTTAATATGTGCAAAGGAGCAAAGAGTCCCTTAGGTCTGTGGTGGATCGTATTCTGTTCTTGGATGCACAATGATTCAATGCACCTTAGAAGGAGCCAACTTTTATGCCACTAGCTAGTCCTTTGTAAGATATGCTAGTGGTCAGTAATTTTTTCAGTCATGGCTGGTTTCAAGGCTGAAAAGCTCTGTAATCACTTAAAGCACCTCAGTAAATGGGAGATTAAATGTGGAGTAAAGTAAGAGCTGTCATAGTTCACACATTAGGTCCCTGCCTCTGTTTACTGAATCCTAGAAAAACTTCAGCTGGCTTTTATGCCATTTTTGTACAGCTGTTGCTAAATGATAACTCTTACATTTTGCAACTTAAAATTGAAAGGCCATTAACTCCTTTCCCCATTCCAGTATTGTCAAATGTCAGATTGGTCCCTTGCTTGTTTCCTGTTAGGTGGGAACATATTACCAACAATGTTGTTTTCCCTCATATCTGAAGGTTTCATCTACATATTTCCCCATATTCAACGAATGTTCCAGAGGAAAGATCAGTCAAGTTACTATAACCTGATATTCATTGCTAATACTGAGAAAATATTTTTAACTGATGGGCTGTTTTACTGGAAAGTCAACGTCTTATGTTCTAGATAAGAAATGGGCAGCAGCCTTTCTCTTTATAAGCAGAAATCTACACCTTGACTAACTGGAAACTGTTCGTAATTGAAATAGAAGATTACACAAAATATACTTACACAGAAATATACACCAGTGTTTGCTTTTAACCGTAATTAGGGCATTGATGATATTACTGGAGAGCCACTTGTTCAGCGTGATGATGATAAGCCAGAGACGGTTACCAAGAGGCTGCAGGCTTATGATGCACAAACAAAACCTGTTCTACAATATTATCAGTAAGTAGTAAAATCTATTCTTCCACATTCTAAAAGCTTCTTCCACAGTAGCATAGCGAGGAATGGATCTCTTCAGTTACAGAGATGTTGCAGCAGTGAACGTGGTATGAGTAGCAGTGTATCTTTCACTAACTCAGTAAGAAATCAACCCAGAAAAATGAGTATGTTTTCCACTGTTGCATGAAACCTCTTCAGGAGCCTGCTCAGCAGAAGAGCCCTTCACCGTACCCATATTTAGCATTGGAAAGAGCACTATGCATTACTCAATACATTATAGTACTGTTCTGAGCAACACAGCTCTGGTTAGTAAGGTAACAGAGACAGTTCCTTTTTTTTTTAAGATTCAACAGTATTTTCTCTTCTGGATGTATAAGTAGAAGCCCTTCTAACAAGGGCTGGGGTCAAGAAATGATTCACAAATAGAAGAACTGTTAATGAGGATTTAAAAGTGGCTGTTCTAAGAACAGGAATGACATGGGCACAGATAGCAAGACTCTTCGGGAATAAGTAGCTATTTGAGAATTCTGCCATTTGCACTGTGGAATGGTAACAAATTATTAGTTGTTTTAAGAGCCAAAATGATAGACAAAGTTTCCTCTTAATGTAAATGTCACATTTTTAATATACAGATAATAGGTCACCATGTAGAGCTTTGCAGTCTTACCTTGCCTAGACAAAGAAATCGGACTCTCTTTGACAACATCCTGAATGGACTGTCCTTCCTCTGTCTCCATATCCACCACCCTTCATTATGGTCTACCAAAACTGTTGAACAGAAGACTAGAAGCTCCATCTTTAGGGAGGATAAGTTTTAGAGGGAGTTTTTCTGGACTGACAACGATATACCTGGCTTTGGAGGCTTTTTGAAGTGAAAATGCCTCAAAGCACCACAGTAAGACAAAGGCCCAAGCTATTATTATTACTGATAGTAACATACTTTACAGATAAAACTAGCTGCTGGAACTAATTCAGAATAACTTGATTGTGCCTGGTTCTGATACACCTTCTTTGATCTTTGAGGTGTAACTTTACAATACCTGTGTTAGAGTTGTTAGAGTGACTGCTGCATAGCATGTGCTATATGACTGCATTGCTGCTTCCTTTTTTTTTTACCCATAGTTTGTTATTAAGTAGTCTGTGGACAGCTGTCAGTTTTATGAACGGATGTGGCCAATAGCTCGCTGTTTGAGGAACAGAATGCATGTCCAGCCTGCATTCCCAAAGTTGTGGCTGTTCTTGGTGTTAAACCACATGCATATTCACACACTTGTGCAGGGCAGTCTTAAAGTGAGGTGGAGATCCTGGAGCAATTAAGCAATTTGACTTCTGTAATGCTTTCTTCTTTTTCTTCCTTAGGAAAAAAGGGCTACTGAAATCCTTCTCTGGAACAGAAACCAATAAGATCTGGCCACATATCTATGCCTTCCTCCAAACCAAGTTGCCAGATGTAAGCCAGAAAGATGCTGCCACTCCCAGGTGAAAACAGGTCTAACATCTGCTCATCTGTCATAGCTTGCACTTGATTACATGAGATTCAGCAATCAAGGATTTCTCTAAGTAGTGTACCAGACTGATCAATAATTGGAGTCTAATCTTGTCCTTAACTTACATTATGATAAAACTGTTACCTGTGATTCTCACTTTAATGCTGTATTTTTTTTATATTAAATACACCTAAGTTTTATAATATAGTAACTGACTTTAAGAAAAGCAGCTACTCTTGTGTCTCATGCAGAAAATAGTTAAATTTGCAAACACCAACTGCTGAAGGAACTACATCTCAGAATACAGCTTAATTACAAAGCACGTTGATTGATTTACACACTCATGAATTGCAGTGCGAAGGAGTGATAAGGACATGAAACCACGCTTCTTGAATGTGTGATTGGTTGGTGCCAGCTGTGGGGAATCATGACCATCATTCTGCAACAAGCCCTTTTGGACCAGAACTGGCATACATATAGGCTGATCTCGTGGAAGAGTGTCACCTTCTTTTAGCTTTGCTTGCACAGATGTTAGCTGATTTTGCTGGAGTTAAATTACCCTTAACACTTGCTTGGATGATTTGCCTTACTACTATGTTTATATTTCTGCCCTCAGAGCGGGCATGAGAAATAGTTTCAATGATGTGTAACACATTTGGTAAGGCCTCTGTCTGTGCAGCTGTATAAAACAGCACATGCCGAACAGATGAAGCCTAATCTTGACTAGTGAATGTGTCTTCTCTGCTATCTTTGAAAAAACAAATGCTCTTTGATGCCAGTGCCAGGATTTCCAGTGGCCAAATTATTAACTTTGTCATATTACTGCAGCAAGTTTTACTGTAGCAACTGAACTTACTTTCATGAGTTCATACTACTAATTCATGTCTCTGACCAGCTCTTTTATTTGTTTATTCACTTGATAACTGGAGTTACAACCTCCACAGGCCACACTTGCAACAGTCCAGGTAATACAGATGTTGCTATGTTTCAGTGAACTCTCCTAGCCTGTTTTCAGGCTCACCAGATTGAGAGTTTCAAGAAGAGTCAGCAAAACCTGAGGAACAAGCAACTCCGTCTAGGAAACATCTGAAGTAGCTGTGTCCTACTAATGCAGATCCCAATCTCCTTTTGCAGTGACTGTCTGTAAACATTTACAGAGCTGTGGTGCTGACGTACCTTGGACTACATTTGCACATTCAGTTTTAGCATTATCAATATTGAGACATATTTGAATGTAAAAAAGATCATAGAATCATAGAAAGTTTTGGGTTGGAAGGGACCCCTAGAGGTCAACCAATCCAACCCCCCAGCAGCGAGCAGGGACACCGCTAACTAGATCAGGTTGCTCAGAGCCCTGTCCAACCTGGTCTTGAATGTTTCCAGGGATGGGGCCTCCACTACCTCTCTGGGCAACCCGTTTAAGTGTTTCACAGCCCTCATTGTAAAGAATTTCTTCCTTATATCCAGCCTAAACCTACCCTGTTTTAGTTTAAAACCATTACCCCTCGTCCTGTCACTGCTGTCTTTGGTAAAACTGTCCCATTACTATAAATGAAGAATATGGGCAATAGCTATCACTGTGAGCAGCTTTTCTTACATTTTAAAGACAGTTTGCCAAAAGGCTGACCACTTGTACTTTCATCTTCACAAACGTCTATATGGAGGCTGTGGACTGAGTGAGTTTAGAGATGTACTTCCTTAAAAATAGTCATGGTTAGAAAACAGTAGCTACCACATTACAATGAGAAACCCTGATTTTCTGCTTACTTCTATTTATGCATTTTTATTTCAATAAAAAGCAGCTATGCTTGTTTTTTTGCCCGCCTATATAAATTTCAGTTAGCCGGAGAAGGGGGAGGGAGGCTCCTTATGATTTGACACTTATTCCCACATCATCAATTTTTAGCCCCTTAAACTTTAAAAATAGCTTCCAGTGTATCACAGGTTGGTAGATCAATGTGGCTCTGCTGCTAATGGTAGCAACTGCAAGTCACTCAAGTAGCACAAGTGCTGCGCTGCCCTTACTACCCTTGTACATAACATTCAGTTAAAAAATAACCTGAAGTTATTAGTTTCCCGTAGTTTCCTTTAATAATTAACTAATTATTAAGGAGAAGGCAGTGTTTACTTACCCTCTCTGAAATATTTGTCAAACTTAAAAAAAACCCACCAAACTTTACTACTGCAGCTGGTTGTCTCTAATTTACATCTGGGACAGAGCTGCTGCTTGCTCCTTTATCCTCACTCTGTCGGCAAAACAACTGCCGTGTGAAGAACACAAGGCACACGAAAAGCTACTTCTGTCAGTAGATCGGGAGTTCCTACTTTTGCCACTGCATTTCTACTAATACTCACTCTGGTATATACTGCAGACTCTGACTTTCCCCTATCTTTGCTATAGCCAAAGCTGAAAATTACTGGATCTCAGCACAGGTTTTGCCTGAATTAGCAACTGCAGGTGGACTGTTTCATCAAACTATTGAAATCTAGATACCTTCTAGACCTTACAGAAAATCAAAACAACACAGCAGAGGACCGAGCGTGTGTACTGATACCAGTATTTGAGATATGAGATGTCTTTAATGGGATCTTCCAGCTGCAGTAACACATTTTTATAGATAGAACTGCTGTAATAGCAGCGAGTTAGAAAAGCACAGTAGAATTTTCGATTGGAGAAGTTCTGTGGAAGGCCTTGTCTAGAAATAGTATGTGGATTTCCAGCTCCTCAAACAGGAAGCTTTTAATGATTTTCCACTTTGTTTCGGTTGGCAATGTCAGAAACCCACTTCAGTAGCACCTGAAGTACATTTTCAAACTCCACGTGACACCTTACCCTATATAAACGGCAGCAAAGCTTTTTGTTGAAGCTGAAGTCTTAGCCTAAGCTTCTACCTCAAGTTCTCTCCATCCAAAACTTCTCCCCATAATGAGAGTTGACTTAAAACAAATATGAAATTAGCCTTATAAATAAGAAGTGATTCAGACTCTCAGAAATCATACAACCCAGCACTCATATGTAGACAAGCATTTCTTACTTTTTAGAATAAAACCAAGTTATGTTTAATGAAAGCACAATGTAACATTTAAATCCCCTTAGTAGAGGTAGAAAGCCAGTGTTTAAATCTAATCCATTCAGATCTGAAATACCAATACCAGATACTGATTTATTGCTATTAGTGATAACCAGATTTGAGAGCTTATAATGTCAGCAAGGTAGCATGAATACAGTTGTAATCTCCAATATTCGTAGAGTAAAACATGTCCACATCTGCAGTAAGACAATAGCAGATTCTGCCAAGAATCTACTGCTTCTTGTAAACATTGTATTTGTGCAGATTTTTTTTCATACTTTAATTTCTAAAGTCATGAAAGGCAACGTTAGTAGCAGAAAACACATCCAGTTTCACATTCGGCAATATGAGAACCCTGCTCTTCAAGGACAACCAAAAACCTAGCAGCACATTTTAATACAATATTACAAGTTTTTCTGAATTACCCACCCTTCAAAATCCCTTCCCCCCAAAACCAAACAACAACAACAAAAAAAATCTGACACTAAAAATAAAGTGCAGTACTCAGAAAAATAAATGTCAAGAAAATAGCCATGTTTTTTTTTTGAAAAAAAAAAAAAAAAAGGAGTACTTGGCCTCAGTCTTAAGAGTACTATACTGTGTCCATCGTTATTGATTCTTCTTCATCTCTTTGTGTCACAGAGTTTAAACTGCAGACATCTGTGTTTATGGAACTGCGTAGATCACCTGTGTTCTGCAAGAGATGAAAAACTGATACTTAATTCTCCATAACTGTATACATGGAGGGAGAGAGAGAGAGAAATAAGAGATTTTAGCTTAAGTTGTCCATTTTAAGATGAGACAAATTTACAATGGTAAGGCAATAAGCTCTGAAAAATTCATCAACCAATATTATCTCACTGTGTCAAGAATTCTTTAAATATGTTGGCATAGCTTGTATTTAGTCTCAATGCTTCTAGCACTCGACTGCATATCTACTTAAAATTCAGCTGTTGTATCTTACTCGAGATGTACTTTAATCAAATTATTTCAAATAAATAGTTTCAATTGTGACTCCTTCCCTAATACATATATTTTGACAATCTTTTAAGCTGGTTCTTCATTCCAGAATGTGGCCATCACTCGTACTGTAACAAAAGACCTAAGTAGCCTCAGTTTCAGTTTATCACAACAGGAGACTTTCCTTAGGCTTGACTTACCTAAATGATCCCATCAGTAGGATTAGTCATTTTACACAGAAAGCTCACATTTCACTGCTTGTGGTAAAGAGTGTGAATACAATTCCAGCACCTGATCAGTTTTATGATGCAGTGTTTACTTTAAACATAAAAATGTAAGGGCACTGAACTAACATATGCTTTTGACCTTGTACTAATGCTTTCTGAATTCCAGCAAGTAAAAAGAAAGCGCATCTATGCCTTGCATATTGATAATACTGCATGTTATATCATGAGCAGTAGCAGTTCCAGGAATCGTCCTCTTTGCGTTTCAGAAAGGTACAGCTTCTCAAGGCAGGTCCTCATCCTACTTTAGTTAAATTAATTTCTAGAAATAATAAACCTACCTGTGAAAAACATGTCAGCTCTCCTACAAGACCGGGATTGACACTGAGATCATGTAGTAACATAGTTTGAAAGCCCTGTGATTGTGAACAGATTCTCACTCTCATCTTGAATGCCTCAAGTTCATTTTTAAAAGCCTCAAAATAGCCTTCTCCTGTCTGCAAAGAGACATGAAATATTTCCATTTCAGCCATATTTACTTTGGATTTGTAAGCATACATAGTGCTGAAAAAAACCATGCAGTAATGGATGTTATACCCTTTGGGGAGTAACGACTGTGAACAACTCAAGAATACTGTTAGTCAGTTTCACAGCACGGTTTTGGGTTGGATGGAACATTAAACATCCTCTAGTTCTAGCCCCCCTGCCATAAAATTTCAGGTAGATTTCTTTTTAAGACAATCTGTAGTATTTATAAGTAGAAGGAAAGGAATTGATTTGTCTAAGGACATGTAAAAATAAATCCAGTTTTAGCCCTTCCCTTATTCCAACTCAGAAGCTGGTACCTGTAGAACAGGTGCTTGTTGTAGCACTCTGGTTAAAAGTAAAGCACAAGTTAACTCGCACTTAAACTGAACTCCTTCAGGCAATATTGAGATCCATCAGAGTCTTGAATAACTGAATACAGTCTACAGCAAACCACAGTTTCAGTCTTCCCGCATTCCTCCTGCACAGCTGTGGATTGCTCTATTTCAGTAAAGGACACTGTTCTGCACCCCAAACAACATGAACTGCAGCTGAAATGGAAAGCTGTGACAATACATAGGTACACGGTGAAAACACAGGTATAATTTGCCAAAATCAGTCCTTGAACTGGTCTATGTTTGCTGTTGTTACTTAGTTATTACTTGTCTATAACACCGCTGTTGTCCCCCTGCTGTATCTTGCGTTCCCTCTGGGATAAGCAAAACCCACTAAACTTTCGTTTTCATAATTGGAATTACACCAATATACTCAGTCTAGAAAAGAATTGCTAACAAAACACTCTCCCGTAAGCCTAAGTCAGTCAATAAAATACGTAGGCTCTTACGGTTAGGATGAAACCATCTCTAAAACACTGGTCCCTTGTACAGCACCGAGAGTTTCTCCCATGGTTACCCAAGTTGACTTACTTTGGCTTTTTGGAAAAAGAGACGAAAACAGCCTCTTGGATCCACATTGCAGTTTCTGGCAATTTCTATAATAAACTGCATTACAACTGCTTGGTGTGCTACTTGCTCCATCAGAGCTCTTTTCTGGAAAAAAAGTTAAAAGTTATGATTTAAAGATACTTCCTGTGATTATATTTCTAAAATTCAGCACAATTTTATTTTGTTCTAGTCCCTAAACAGATGAGAACTGATGCTCACAGAAGCAAGGGGACGGATAATTTGCAATAATTAGACATGTAAGTGACAATGCACTATAGAGTTTTTCTTCAACAAAGTAAAGAGAGGGTGGGAAGAACCGTTAAACAGCTAATCAAGTTGGTCAGCTTTTCTATAGCGCAAGTGGGAAACAGTATGCTTTCACCAGTTTAAACATCTTCTTCATACCTGTTCAGCTTCTAGATGAAAACACCACAACATGAGATATCTAGATGTTTCTTCACATACAAGATACGGGTGATCAGACAAAAATCTCTGACTATCGTCCCATCGGCTCAGCATACCTAACAAAAGAAACATAATCAAGATATTCTAAATGGATAAGTGATGTAATGCATCAAGGAAGTTACTTGCATTGATACCCCCCAATATATATAACAAACACCTTTGCAATTCACTAACCTCAGGATGACAGCATGCAGCTAAATTTGGAAGTTTTATTTATACATCTAACTAATGCTGAAAGAGCTTTACCAGAAGGTATAATCAGACTTTGAAGATACTAAAAGTGGATTTTAACAGTCAAAATTTCCTATATTTTAATGCATGTCTAGCATCTTTGATAAGTTATTTTTAATCAGTTCTCATACACGCTGATGAAGTGTTGTAGGTATCAGTTACATCATCAAATAGTTTCAAAAGTTTATGGATAGAGACTTACATTCAGTGATTCTGACAAACACAAATCCTCTGAATGTGTGCAAATAAGAATGCAAAGAAACGAATGTGTAATCTTTCAAAAATGAAAGTGCTTCTAACACATGATTTGCTAGGTTTTTAGGAAGTTTGAATTTACTTACAAGAACAGCTTGATCTCAAAAAGCAAAGCCACATCAGTATTGGACAATTAACTAGAAGACTGAATTGTGATACCTTCATGTAAAGAGCTGAGTTTGAAAATCAGAACTCAATACTCAGACCACTTAAAATTGTTCTTCACATACCACTGACAGTCAAGTCGTTGCTGGCAACAGGTACCAGATGTACAGCTTTCCCTATCTATCAGTATATAATTATAACTGGGCTAAAGATAATTCAGTGGTAATGACCTAAGATAATTAGGTAATGACCTAAGATAATGAATGCCTTAAGAGAAAGCAATGGCTAGTATTTCTTTTGGCTGTTTTCAGAAGAGCGATCGTGCAAAAGTTCTTTAATGCTTGGAAGCCAGAGCAGGATCCAGAAACAGGACTTGTGCAATACGACTAGCAAAGTCCACAAGAGACCTGACAGAGCATTAACGTACTGTGCCTTTTAACAGTGGACTTACGTATTCTGAAAGAGAATAACAACATGGCTTTGTATTTAGGAGGGAAGAAAAAAAAAATTACCTTCTGTAATAAGGTTGTATCTCCAACAGCTTAATCTGAATTTAGACAACAAAGTAATTTTGCCCAACTCTTAGCTCAGAAGCCTGCAAGAAAGCCTCTTTTTTTCTGCTGAAATGCACAGCAGGGGAGAAGTCTTCCGATTCTGCTATCATTACACTTAGCAGTTAAGGTATTTGAGAGAACCTGTGTCACTGCTGTTTGCATACTCTGATGGTGTTTTGCCTCAGCTTGGTACTTGCAAGGCTTGCTAAGGCTAACAGGGCTAGAAACCCTTTCTTTAAAACAGTTTAAGATCCTTACAAGCCAAATAGCTTAGTAAAAACAAGTCTGTATAAAGAATTGAATTTTGCCAACTCAGTCCTGTTCTTGATTGTTCTGGAATTCCAAATATGGCTATACTGTATGATAGTCTGAAACCAGCCTGTAAGTAAGAATGGAAAGCACTTCAGATTATCTTACAAGACCAGCTTTGTGCTTAATCGGGTTCAACAATTATGATAGGGCTAAAGTGACACCTAGTGGGTAATTAAATCCAATTCTAGGAAATGCACAATTCCATGCACACATAGTCTCAGTAGGCATTTACAGACATTTCCCTTTAATCAGTCATTACCCTTGTAGCTTAACAGCCACCAGAAAAAACACTTATTAAAAGAAGACAGTTGTGGACAATCCCATGCACTTGTATACACATGACTTGTATTTCCATGAATGTCCCTGCCTTTTCCCACTGAACAACAAAAAAAGTTGCTAGAACTTTAGTTTTCAGGGCTTAAGCTCATTTGAATATTAATTTTGAAAATTTTTTTTGAAGTGTAAGTTCTCATTGGTCACACGAACTAACAAGCTTCTACGGTTTACACCTTATTTTGCTGTGAAATTATTATCTGTCCTGATAAAATAAAGCTGAACAGTCTGTTCGCCAGGTCTTTCATTTGTTAGCATTTGTTCTGTACAATAAGGAGCAAGCCCACACAAATTATGCAGATGTTTGAACTGCAACACACTGGAAAAAGTACACTCACCGAAGTGCCTAATCTTTTGTTCGTGTTTTTGCATAAGTGGTTCAGACACATCTTCATCTTCTATTTCTTTTCTTTTTTGATTAATAAAACTCTGAGGAAGAGAAAAATTGTACCATCACAGAAATTCCAGACATACCTTTTTGTGATATATAGGAATATTGTATTTTAATATGTTACTATTTAAAGGGCTATGTTCTAATTTTAGAATCATGTCACATACTTGAGAAGGTTTTCTTTAAAAAAGTGCATTACCTAATAATAGAGGTTAAAATTCTCATTATAGTCTACTGACCAAAGAACTCAAAGAAACTTCTGTCATCGGGTAGGAACATACTGATCCTTCAGCAATGAGAATCACGTACATTGCAGCCTGGATACAGCTAAATCTGTGAAATTAGGAGATGTGCTAGCTGTTCAAATTAAATTGTGAAGTCAAAGCCGAGATTCTACTTCTACAAAAAAAGTTTCTGCTAAATAATCTGTATTACCATAGTCAGTATTGGAGGCAAACTAAGAGTTTCACATATTAAGAATTTGACACAGTAGAGAAGCACACTGTTCCTGTGAAGAAACTATTGTTTGGTGCTTTTGGCAACACTTGCACTACATAGAACCATAGACTGGTTCCGGTTGGAAGGGACCTTTAAAGATCACAAAGTTCCACCACCACCCTGCTATGGGCAGGGACACCTTCCACCAGACCAGGTTGCTCAAAGCTCCATCTGAACTGGCCTCGAACTCTCCCAGAGCGGGGGCAGCC